TGTCTCTACTATTATAATAATTACAACAATAACTTATTTCATTATCATCATCATCCCTGTGACTTTAAAACTGTGATGTTATTTATTTTATTTATTTATTTTATTTATTTATTTTATTTATTTATTTATTTATTTTATTTATTTCTGTTTCTGTCATTTCATTAGTTACATTACAATATTACTAATTTAAAATGTCAAATATTACACGACTATTACAGCACTTTAAGACCGAACCAGGACTGAACCAGGACTAAACCAGGACCGAACCAGGACTAAACCAGGACCGAACCAGGACTGAACCAGGACCAAACCAAACCTAAACCAGGACTAAACCAGGACTAAACCAGGACTGAACCAGGACTAAACCAAACCCCGAACCAGGACTAAACCAGGAACCCAAACCAGGACCAAACCAGGACTAAACCACCAGGAACCAGGACTAAACCAGGACCACTAGGACTAAACCAGGACTAAACCAGGACTGAACCAGGACTAAACAGGACTAAACCAGGACTAAACCAGGACTAAACCAGGACCGAACCAGGACCGAACCAGGACAAACCGAACCAGGACTAAACCAACCCTAAACCAGGACCGAACCAGGACCAGGAACCGAACCAGGACTAAAACCAGGACTAAACCAGGACTAAACCAGACTAAACCAGGACCGAACCAGGACTAACCAGGACTAAACCAGGACCAAACCAGGACTAAACCAGGACTAAACCAGGACAAACCAGGACTGAACCAGGACTAAACCAGGACAGAACCGAACCAGGACTAAACCAGACCAGGACTAAACCAGGACTAAACCAACCAGGACTTGAACCAGGACTAAACCAGAACCAGGACTAAACCAGGACCGAACCAGGACTAAACCAGAAACTGAACCAGACCGGAAACCAGGAACTAAAACCAGGACTAAACCAAACCTAAACCAGGACCAAACCAGGACTAACCAGGACTAAACCAGGACTAAACCAGGATGAACCAGGACAAACCAGAACCAGGACAAACCAGGACTAAACCAGGAACTACAAACAGGACAAACCAGGACTAAACCAGGACTTAAACCAAACAAACCAGGACTAAACCAGGACTAACCAGGAACTGAACCAGGACTAAACCAGGACTAAACCAGGACAAACCAGGACTAAACCACTGAACTAAACCAGGACTAAACCAAGGACTGAAAACCAGGACTAAACCAGGACTAAACCAGGACTAAACCAGGACTGAACCAGGACTAAACCAGGACTAAACCAGGACTAAACCAGGACTAAACCAGGACTAAACCAGAACTGAACCAGGACTAAACCAGGACTAAACCAGGACTGAATCAGGTCAGAGTGGAGTCACCTGACGTCTACACGGGTGCGTCTCTGGTGCTTCACTGCTGCTGATCTCGAGGTGATTTTAGTGAATTTGTATGAAGAAAAACCCACCACTTCAATCCAGGTTAAAAAAGCTTTGTGACTCACATTTGTACCAAATAAAATATGACTCTTTTTCCCTTTAATGCGGAACATTACTGCGTTACTGCAAAAAACAACACAGCACAGTAACTCATTACTTTTATAACACGTTCCTCCAAACACTGAATATATTTACTAGTAGCAGCAGCAGTAGTAATTATTTTTAGTTATGATTTTTATTCATTTATTTATTTTTTACTATAAATAATGGATTATGAACAGTGTATAAGTCCTTACTTTAAATTCTTATGACCAAAATTTCTGACTTATTGTAATTTATATTTATCCATTTTCCATGTGGATAAATACAATTATCAATATAGATACAGCTGTTTGGTTTGTTGTTATTCCTTATATAACTTGTATTTATTTATTTTTTGTGTAATAATAATAATGAATAAATTTTAAAAAGAATTTCCTGTTACTTCCTGTTTCGTTTTCAACATATTTCTAACCCGTCACAGATTCCGTTATGATTTGTGTAAAACTATCAGAGACCCAGACCCAGACCCAGACCCCCAGACTCAGACCCAGACCCAGACCCAACCCAGACTCAGACCCAGACCCAGACCCAGACCCAGACAGACCAGACAACCCAGACCCAGACCCAGACCCAGACCCAGACCAGACAGACCCAGACCAGACCAGACTCAGACCAGACACAGACCAGACCCAGATCAGACCCAGACCCAGACCCAGACTCAGACCAGACCCAGACCCAGACCCAGACCCAGACCCAGACCAGACCTCAGACTCAGACCCAGACCCAGACACAGACCCAGACTCAGACCCAGACCAGACCCAGACCCAGACTCAACCCAGACCAGACAGACCAGACCAGACCCAGACACAGACACAGACCAGACTCAGACCCAGACCCAGAGACCCAGACTCAGACCCAGACAGACCAGACCCAGACTCAGACCCAGACCCAGACCCAGACCCAGACCCAGAACCCAGACTCAGACCCAGACCCAGACTCAGACCCAGACCAGACCCAGACCCCAGACCCAGACCCAGACCCAGACTCAGACCCAGACCCAGACTCAGACCAGACCCAGACCCAGACCAGACTCAGACCCAGACCCAGACCCAGACCCAGACCCAGACCAGACTCAGACCCAGACCCAGACCCAGACCAGACCAGACCCAGACCCAGACAACCCAGACCCAGACTCAGACTCAGACCCAGACCCAGACAGACCAGACCCAGACTCAGACCAGACCCAGACCCAGACCCAGACCCAGACCCAGACCAGACCCTAGACCAGACCCAGCCAGACCCAGACTCAGACCCAGACCCAGACCCAGACCCAGACAGACCAGACACAGACCCAGACTCAGACCCAGACCCAGACCCAGACCCAGACCCAGACTCAGACCCAGACCCAGACCACAGACCAGACTCAGACCTCAGACCCAGACAGACCAGACCCAGACCCCAGACCAGACCAGACTCAGACCCAGACCCAGACCCAGACCCAGACCCAGACTCAGACCCAGACCCAGACCTCAGACTCAGACCCAGACCCAGACCCAGACCCAGACCAGACTCAGACCCAGACCCAGACCCAGAGACTCAGACCCAGACTCAGACCCAGACTCAGACCCAGACCCAGACCCAGACCCAGACCCAGACCCAGACCCAGACCCAGACCCAGACTCAGACCAGACAGACCAGACCCAGACCCAGACCCAGACCCAGACCCAGACCAGACCCAGACCCAGACCAGACCCAGACCCAGACTCAGAGACCCAGACCCAGACCCAGACCCAGACCCAGACTCAGACCCAGACCCAGACCCAGACTCAGACCCAGACCCAGACCCAAGACTCAGACAGACCAGACCAGACCCAGACTCAGACCCAGACCCAGACCAGACCCAGACTCAGACCCAGACCCAGACCAGACCCAGACCCAGACCCAGACCCAGACCCAGACCCAGACTCAGACCAGACCCAGACCCAGACCCAGACCCAACCCAGACCCCCAGACCCAGACCTCAGACCCAGACTCAGACCCAGACCCAGACCCAGACCCAGACCCAGACCCAGACCAGACCCCAGACTCAGACCAGACCCAGACCCAGACCCAGACCAGACCCAGACCCCAGACCCAGACCCAGACCCAGACCCAGACCCAGACTCAGACCAGACCAGACCCAGACCCAGACCAGACCAGACCCAGACCCAGACCCAGACCCAGACCCAGACCCAGACTCAGACAGACCCAGACTCAGACCCAGACAGACCAGACCCAGACTCAGACCAGACCCAGACCCAGACCAGACCCAGACCTCAGACCCAGACCCAGACCTCAGACCCAGACCCCCCAGACCCAGACCAGACCCAGACCCAGACCACAGACCCAGACCAGACTCAGACCAGACCCAGACCCAGACCCAGACCCAGACTCAGACAGACACAGACCCAGACTCAGACCCAGACCAGACCTCAGACCTCAGACTCAGACCCAGACCCAGACACAGACCCAGACTCAGACAGACCAGACCCAGACACAGACCCAGACAGACCCAGACCCAGACCAGACAGACTCAGACCCAGACCCAGACAGACCAGACTAGACCAGACCCAGACCCAGACCCAGACCCAGACCCAGACCAGACCAGACTCAGACCCAGACCCAGACCCAGACTCAGACCAGACCCAGACTCAGACCCAGACCAGACAGACCAGACCAGACCCAGACTCAGACCCAGACCAGACAGACCCAGACACCAGACCAGACTCAGACCTCAGACCCAGACTCAGACCTCAGACTCAGACTCAGACCCCCAGACCCAGACCAGACCCAGACTCAGACCCAGACCAGACCCAGACCCAGACCCAGACCAGACCCTCAGACCCAGACCCAGACTCAGACCCAGACAGACCCAGACCCAGACCAGACAGACCCAGACTCAGACCAGACCAGACTCAGACCAGACCAGACCCAGACTCAGCTCAGACCAGACCCAGACCCAGACCCAGACTCAGACCAGACCAGACCAGACCCAGGACCCAGACTCAGACCCAGACAGACAGACCAGACAGACCCAGACCCAGACAGACTCAGACCAGACCCAGACTCAGACCCAGACCCAGACTCAGACCCAGACTCAGAAGACCAGACCCAGACCAGACCCAGACCTCAGACTCAGACCCAGACCTCAGACTCAGACCCAGACCCAGACCCAGACCAGACCCAGACTCAGACCCAGACCCAGATCAGACCCAGACCCAGACTCAGACCCAGACCCAGACTCAGACCTCAGACCCAGACTCAGACCAGACCCAGACCAGACCAGACCCAGACCCAGACCCAGACACAGACTCAGACTCAGACCCAGACCCAGACAGACTCAGACTCAGACTCAGACTCAGACCCAGACCCAGATCAGACCCAGACCCAGACCAGACTCAGACCCAGACCAGACTCAGACCCAGACCCAGACTCAGACTCAGACTCAGACTCAGACCCAGACCCAGACTCAGACCCAGACCCAGACTCAGACTCAGACTCACAGTCATTGTTCTTGTCGACCAAAGCGAAGATTCGTTCCACGATTTCCTCCACGTTCCCGGTGGCGTTCGGTTCGTGCGGCTGCTTTATTCTCCCGATGATCTGAAACACACAGAAGCAGTTTGAGTCCGTCGGGGTCTAAAGTGACTCTGCTCAGACCACGTCACGCTAAAGCTGCACTCTGTCACTTTTCTGGAGTCCACCACCTGCTTGTCTCCATGGAGATGCTATGAATTTGAACCGTGTCACTTTTGTTTCTGGTTCTGACTGATACAGATTTTGTTGCTGCCGATATGAAACTGATAAAACAGGAGTTGGAGCTGTCGATATAATCGTCGATATATTTAGTGATGTAAAAATTGACTGTAAATGTTGAATTGTTTAAAAAACTTCGGTTTGGCTCTAGTGGATTTTAAATTGGGTTTATTTAGGAAACATTTATTGTTCTTCTGCTTCTTTACGTCAGATTTACAGACAGAAGTTTTGGCTTAATGACATTTTTTTTACATCGTCACATTCTTAGACATGAGTGACGGAGATTCCAGTTCTTTTTAGAGAACCGGCTCTTTTGGCTCGGCTCACTAAAAGCAGACGGCTCTTTCGGCTCCCAAGTGACTCTTCAGATTGTTTTGTTGCAAGCAGGACTAAACCAGAACTGAACCAGGACTGAAAAAGGACTAAACCGGGACTAAAACAGATCTAAACCATGTGTAAAACAGGACTAAACCAGAACTGAACCAGGACTGAGTGTCGGGACTCGGTCTCTATCTTGTGCCCAAGATTAGTCCTGGTTTATTTATTTTATGCTGAACTACAGACAAACATGCACGTTTTTTCTCTCCTCTCCACACACAGATTTCTGAAAGTTTCGTTTGGAGCCCCTGTCAAACTCCCACGAGTCTGAACACGACGTGAAGAAAGAGAAAGAGAAAACACGGCTCCTAATAAGGATCAGGCTCCTGTTGTTCCCTTCAAAGAGCCGGATCTAAGAGCCGCTTCATTCACGACTGACCCATAACTAGTAAAGAAACTAGCACTATTAGCCTTTAGCCGTAAATACGTGTGCGCCGCGGTCATTAATTCTATGTGTAAATGTGGATCATTCACACCTCTATTCACAGCTCATTTACATCAGTGCAGCTCCAGTCACAAATATACGAACAATAGAGTCAATTTACAACAGACCAATAGAAAACAGACTGATTATGTGTCGGAGCTACAGCAGATCATCAAGAACAAATAACCAAAACCAGCTTCAAAGTCGACATATTTCCAACACTCAGCCTCACACAGGCTCCTCCCACATCACAAGTCTGAACTAATAACACACACACACACACACACACAGGCTCCTCCCACATCACAAGTCTGAACTAATAACACACACACACACAGGCTCTCCCACATCACAAGTCTGAACTAATAACACACACACACACAGGCTCCTCCCACATCACAAGTCTGAACTAATAACACACACACACACACACAGGCTCCTCCCACATCACAAGTCTGAACTAATAACACACACACACACACACACACACACACAGGCTCCTCCACAATCACAAGTCTGAACTAATAACACACACACAACACACACACACACACACACACAGGCTCCTCCCACATCACAAGTCTGAACTAATAACACACACACAACACACACACACACACAGGCTCCTCCCACATCACAAGTCTGAACTAATAACACACACACAAACACACACACACACACAGGCTCCTCCCACATCACAAGTCTGAACTAAATAACACACACACACACACACACACATCATCAAAGTCTGAACTAATAAATGTTATTTTAATCCAGACTCAAACCGATCGTCCGTAAAAAGAAAATAATCTCAGTGTTTGGATCTGAGTCTGTGGGTGTAAACAAACACACGTGTGTGACGTGACTCTGTGTGTGTTCAGGGACAGTACGAACACACACACACACACACACACGACTCCGTAGATAAATACTGATGTGGAGTCACATATTTGGACATTTATCTGTCTGTAAACTGGATTAAATAAACATAATGTAGAGAGTCTAAGATTTATAACGACGTATCACTTGCCCACATGAAATATCGGCCCATATCAGCAAATATATCGGCCGATAACCGATATGTTTCCAGGTGCCCGTATCAGCCGATAATATTGGCCAACCAATATATCGGTCGGGCTCTATTATCTATCTACTGATTGATCTAGTTCTGATACTAGTTTAGATTCTCGATACTTTGACCTCTGACCTTGATGATGAGCCGGACCTCGGTTCGGTCCAAAGAGCCGTTTCCGTCGCGGTCGAACACTTTGAAGGACCAGACCAGTTTGTCTTTGAGTTTCCCCCGAAGAATCAGATGAACGGCTGCAACGTACTCCAGGAAATCTATATGTCCATCCTGAAGAGAGGAGAGAGGAAGAGAGAGATAAAGAGAAGGAAAGAGAAAGAGAGAAATAAAAAGAGTTAGTTTTCTTGTGACTCTTTAGTTTGTGAGTTTTTCTGTTCATGGAGAAACTGGAAAAGAAAATCCACCCACTTTAAAAAAAAAAAAAGAATTCTGTTAAATCTACGGTTTGTCTCTTTGTCCCGGGGACAGTCCCAGTCCTGGTCCTGGTCCTGTGTCCCAACAGATTTACACAAAACCACTGATTTGTCTCATTTTATACAAGAAATGTCCCTGGTGTCTCTGTTTTTGACCAATCTGATCTAAACCAGGACTAAACTAAGACTAAAACAGGACTAAACTAAGACTAAACCAGGACTAAACTAAGACTAAAACAGGACTAAATTAAGACTAAACCAGGACTAAACTAAGACTAAACCAGGACTAAACTAAGACTAAAACAGGACTAAACTAAGACTAAAACAGGACTAAATTAAGACTAAACCAGGACTAAACTAAGACTAAACCAGGACTAAACTAAGACTAAACCAGGACTAAACTAAGACTAAACCAGGACTAAACTAAGACTAAAACAGGACTAAACTAAGACTAAACCAGGACTAAACTAAGACTAAACCAGGACTAAACTCATTTATTAAAAAAAAATAAAAATCCCAAAATAAACTGTGTTAAGCTTTAGGCAGGAGAGTCAAACTCAAATTCACACTGGGACAAAATTAAAAACTGTGAATAAATCGTGGCCAAACTAAATATTTACAGAAATATTTCAACATCTTCTGCATGTTTTCTCTTCTTTTGAGATTTGTAATTTTAAACCTTTTCTTATTAAAATAAATGTTTATAATAGTTTTGCTTAAACACTGAATTTTAATCTTAAACACATTTTGTATGTGGAGCGACGACAAAACAAAATCTTGTTTGTTAATGTAGAGGAGCAGAAGACAAACAGACTGAGCTGCACTTTCTTGTTCTTGTGGTTTTACAGAAACATCACGTCTTGGTCTTTGCAGTGGAAGGTGTTTCTTGATGAACAGTTGGAAACTTTCACTTTGGTGTCGACTTTTAAAATTCATAAAGGAGGTTGAACGAAGGATCAGGATTTTGTTTTGTCGTCGCTCCACATACAAAATGTTCTCTGTAAACTGGGGATGATTTAGACCAGTGGTGCTCAATACGTCGATCTCGATCTACCAGTCGATCTCCAAGGTCGTGTGGGTACATCGCCGTGTCTCGTCTCGGACTCGTGTTTGGACTCGGTCTTGTCTCTCACTCGAGGTCTGACACTCAACAAGTGTGATCATATTTCATTCCGGCCGCTGCTGTTGGTAATAAACTTGTAGCGGGTGCAGGAGCGTGTGGGGCGTCTCAGTGCAGCCTGTGCGCTCATTTGAAACCCGCGGAGACTCTACGGCGCATCACAAACACACACGCTCCCTACGCACGGCTCGTCTGCGACAGCGTGTGCCCTCGTGTACCAGCGTGCATCACAGGGCAGGTTCAACTTCCTAAACATCCTACCTGTCCACCTGCCTCACGTCAGCACGCCGCCCCTCGCCTTTTCACGCTCTCGCTCCTTCCTGCGTACAGCGAACACAAGCCCCTCCCACAGTGCGGCTGATTAGAAGAGCAAGACCAAACGTGAAGCAAAAACCAGTCTAAATTTGTGTTCCAGTGTTGGCACAGAGCAGGTCTACAGCATAGAGCGGATCTACAGAACAGACCTACTGCCACATTTGGCTGAAGTTTGTCTAACAAAAGTGACAAATGCATCTGTGTTTGTCACGATGTGCGTTTGGTTTGGTAAACGTGCAGAGGCTGGTAAATATCACTGCAAAACCACAAAAGAATGAAACTCCAGTTTGGAACTTTAAAAAACAGGTTTAAAAATCTTCATTCAGTTTTTTCACAGTTTTGTGTAAAGTGCCAGAGGAAGTTCTCTTAAAGAAGAGGTTCTCAAACTGTGGGGGAGGCTCCAAAAAAGTGTTTCAGTGCAGTTTGTTTGACTTTGTATTCGGTCGATCATTTTGACTTGGTCATTTTGTAAGAAGCTCACATGATGAAAAAGTGTGAACACCTCTGATTTAGTCAGACAAATGTTTCCTTTTTGTTTCTTCCTGTGGATCAATCCTGCCCATCACCTTCACCTTTCACTATTTTTCAATTCTGTTGGGAAGAGAAACAGTTCACAAACACATTTCTTGAGTCGTTTTCCGCTGTTAGGAGTAGGGACGGGCATTCGATGAAATTTTCTTAATCGATCGTCGGAAGAATTAACGATCGATTATCGATTAATCATTAACGTTTTTATATTAAAATGATCATCATTATTATTACTATCTGCACTAATCTGCATCAATAAATTCAACTTTACGACATATAAACATAACGACTCTAGATCCACATCAGCTGTTTGACATTATAATGTGTTTAATTCAGTTTTGTTCAAATCTCACAGAAACAAAACTTAAAACCACATCACTAATTTACATAAACTAAGTGAAGATAAAACTCCAGCTCTTGTGTCGCTGATGTGGTTCAACTTGTGTTGGATTAAAAGACATGACTCAGGTGAATACAGGTCA